GGCTTCTCATTGCTATTATTTAAAAGTCAACCCCAACTGGCATTATCGGTCCCCCTTTTGGCATTGCAATGCACATGCGTTTCAGCCCCATCGTTCATCCTGAATACGAATCCAGACCAGCCCATCCAGGCCAGCATCGACCCCCCGCCAGCCTCTGCCCAAAAAAAAACGCGCGCGCACTCGTCGATGCAAGAGCGCCACTTGCCAAGACCCCCATCGCCCCCCCCCACCCCCCCGCAAAAAAAACACGAGACGAAGTGCACACGCGCGCGCCGCCGCGCGCGCATGCCGAAATGTTTCAAAAAAACATTGGCCTGGGAACTGTTTCAAAGTCGGGTGCCCAGACAAAACATATACGAACAAAGCGCTTCGCAACGAATTATATGTGTATATATGTATACATAAACGAAACAATGCGCGCGCGCTCCTGCGAAGTCTTCCGGAAACCATAGGAGGTGTTAATCATTTTCTGAAAATGCTAGCAAATTGGTTTCGCGCGCGCGCATGTCGGCATCGTTCGAACGCCCCTGCGCGCGTGCCGTCACGAGATACCTCCTGCAAAAAAACGAACAGAAATGCACGCGTGCGCGTCGCGCGCGCATGCCGGAATCCTTCAGAAACATTCGTTTCCGTAACGATTGCAAGACTGACCGTCCGAAAAAAATACACAAAGAAACAGAGATTCGCAACGTCCGTTTTGAGTACTCTTTTTACATTTAGAGATATAAATACATATATATATATACACACACAAAAAAAAACTCGCACACTTGCGATGTCTCAAGAAAGTTAAAGGTTTTGCAGCATGTGCGTGAAATTCTGCAAACCAGCCCCCTGGCTCCGAATGCCGAAATCATTCGCACGCCCTTGCCTGCGCGCTAGCGGGGGGGGGGGGGGGGGCACGACCCGCGCCAAATAATACCACGCGGGCCATATTCGCGCGTCGGCCGCGCGCGCATGTCGAACTCTTTCCACAACCTTCATCACCGATGCGAGGACGCCGTCATTGTCGTTGGCGATATGAGCCTCCGCGCCATCACTGGCCGCGCCGTCATCGCCGTCAGCGTCGTCACCAGCACCGCCACAATCATCACCACGCCCATCGTTGTCGACGTCGCAATGATACCGCGCCCGCCCAGAGCGCCGACTCGCACGGAAGTGCCCGCTGGGCTTCCCCCAGCGGCGAGCGCCGCCGCGGCCGCGCCGGTCGCGCCAAGATAGCTGGCCGCCGCGCGCGCGCGCGCACGGGCTGTCGCGGGCGCAGAGATGCACCAGCCAGCGCCAAGCACTCATCGCAATCGCCGCCGCATGGGGCGTGCAAACCAAATGGCGGGCGCGCGGGCGGGGCGACGTTTGCGCGAGCGGTCGGGTAGCCAATCCCTTGCTGAGCACAGGTGGACTGCCCCACATAAATTGCACCACATACTTTGCCACGCATCGATTGCAGCACACAAGACTGCACGAGTTGTCGCTCGCGCCTGCGGCGCAAAAATCGATCGCTCACAGCATGGACTGCGCACATGGCTTGCACAAGTTCGGCGACGCGTTGCACCACATAAGACGGCGCTACCAAACTTATCGCACCCCACAACATACCTCGCACAACAAACATTGCACCATGTACGTTGTACCACATATATTGCCCTAGAGCGCACCGTATACATTGTTCAACCTAGCTTGCATAACATAGCTTGTACCCCTTCGTCTGCACAACGTGCATTGCAATTAGTAAGCTGCACGGTAAACGTTGCAAAACCTGCACACACACCCACGCACCACCTAGATTGCACCACGCATATGGCCTCACAAAAATTTCGCCGCAGATGTTGCCACATCGCTAGCACCGCATTCACGGCTAGAAACACAGCGTTTGGGGCCCACGCTGGCCACCAACTTACTCGGGCGTCGGACAGGGGGGAACTGGCAACCAACTGCCTTGATCAAACACCTCCAAGCTGGCCCCAAGATGGCCCCCAACGCCCCAGAAGTGCCACATGAAGGCCCCACGAGGCCGCCGAGAGGCCGCGAAGAGGTTCCCAAGAAGCTCCCACGAGACCCCCAAATTGTTCCAAACGGCTGCCCCGAAGCACCCGAAACGCCCCTAGACGCCCCCAAGACCGCCCAGAGCCCCCCAAGATGCTCCAAGGGGGCCCACCTAAACATTCAAGGACATCCGAAGAGACTCCGAGAGGATTCCAAAAGGCCTCTGGCCACTCTGGCCGCCATGCTCAGCTTCCTTGTCATCCCCCGATCCCCCCCCGCACATTCCCCCTCGCTCATCTACGTCCTCTTTGTCCGACTGAGACGAGATCCGCAGAGCAAAGCTCGCTCGCTTGCAACCGCGGGAGCAAACCCAGCGGCCACGCGCGAATCGGAGGCCCGGGAGGGCAAAATCCAAGCCCGCGGGCAGGGGGGTTCGCGAGCCCCGAAAACTTGCCCGACTGGAGCTCGTTCCCCGCTCTGAGCTTCCCCCACGCAATCTTAGCCAAACGGGCCGCCG